AAGAAGAGAACATGAGGTATCATTATTAATGCTTATAAGAGTTGCTGTTTTAATTTAATGATATGTTCCCCCTAATTATATACCGTATCTACATAGCCATGCTTTAGAATATCATATTGACCACAGAGCAGAAAATGGAAGTATAAAAGCTGTATATACGTACTACGGGGTACTATAAGTAGCCATCTCTATATGAATGCAATTGTTCCTTTCAGGGACATTTTTTGGGGCAAAGGGTTATGTATATAAGTACTATATATGCAGCCATCTCTATATGAATGCAATTGAACGAGTCACATTAGCATATGTCAAACTTTGCTTTAAGACCATTTCAATGTATATGTACTTTAGGCTATTGTTACTTGTTTATTTGTACAATGTATTTAGTAAAGAAATGGTAAAAAAATGTGGTTTTGATGGTTTGCTTTGCCTTTAAGATTGTGTTTAAGCATAAGTGAAGAATAAGAACAATCTTGATGGTTTTATTCGAGAACGAGAAAGGCAGGAGTTCCTTCCCGTTTTCCCCGTCCGTTTTTTTTGGCTTTTTCGTTTCTTCTCATCTTTCTTCTTTCTCCTTTTTGTTGTTTCTTTCTTTATTTTGTTACTTCTTTTCCTTTTTTTAGTTTTTAATTGTTTTTCAATTTTTTTATTTTAATTTTTTCTCAGTTTTTTTAAATCTGGGACTCCCTTCGGCTAGTAATAAACTTCCTATTTTGAAGAACGTGCAAAATTCCATTTTTTTAAAAATTATTTTATTTACTTCCTCCTTCTCCCTGTATTTGTCCACTTTCATTTTTGCACACCATCCAATTCACTTCTTTAATCCATTTTATCTTGTAATTTGTATATTAAAAAATTATAAAAATTATATATTAATAATATATATGTTAAGACAAATCAAACAAGATCACACATGACTATATTTAGGCTTATACATTGAGAAAATCTGATGAGTCAAAGTGCTTAGATGAACAGTTCCAAAAGTCAAAAGTGGACGAATATAGCGGGACGGAGGGAGTAGAATATAAAGTTTTTCATTGTTTTAAAAGATGAATATCAAATTAATTACAAACATTGAAAACTTTCTTTTTTAACTATATCGCGAGTACAATTCGTGGGAATATCATGTGCGTTATATATCAGAATCTTAGAGCATTACGATTTGTTATTATTGAAATTGTAATGTACAGTTATGCATGAATAAATACTATTTTCGTAACAATAATTTTACGTATTTTAGAGATCAGTTTGACTCTTGTTAATCGTATATGAAATAACCATCTGAAATATTCTTCTTTTAAACTTGAATGGAATTCTTATACGGAGTATAAGATTGTGTCATTAGTAGTTTTGAAATAACTTCAAACTTCTTCACCCATGTGTTTTCCAGATCCATATGTCTTCCAGATAATAAAATTTATTGAACTTAGTAATTAGCCAACTGGGTTATCATAAATCGTACACCATTACATATTCAATGTATTCAAATTCATATTTGAATATTCGAATTTGAAAACACTAAAAGATTTTTTTAAAGGCATTTTCTAGATATAGTAAGTTATTTTTTATAAACTACAAGTAATATAAATTGACAAATTCATCATAATACATCCAAAATGTTACCTAAATTGCTACGAATTTTGGGAGCAAGATGTCCCAAAAATTAGAACAAAAGAGTTTCATATTCAAATAAAATGTTCCAAATCTCCAAAAAGAACATGTAACAGAAACAAAATACTCCGTAATACATAAGCCAACAAAACACACATAATACGAAACTCTAGAGTCTGGAAGCTTGGCTAAAGAAGTGAAGACTATAAATGAGGTGGCATGCCAAATTCTGAAGTCTTGAGAAAAATAATAAGATTAAGGCTTTTTAAAAAGAATAAGATTAGAGTTTATTTGAGAGGAGGTTTTTAGCACATTTATATTGATTAGGCTTTTTAATCCAAATGCAAATAACTAAGGTGTATTAGACTATTATGGTATATTTATTTATGTATTTATATTATTCAAATAATTTGAAACATAAACGAAGGTTTTGAGCACACTTATATTGGTATGCTATGATGTTAACTTTAAAATATTAATATTTTAATATCTGGAAAATTTTTTTATATTGAAACAAATAATTACAATTTTTTTTGCTAATTTAAAGAAGAAACATTTGTACATATTTTTGAAAATAGTTTGCATGTGCAGCACATATTGTAGTAAACTTGAAGCACTAAAACATTCTATTTGTAATATGCATAAAAAAACTATAATCAATAGTGAACTCCAACTTCAGCTTAAAATTTTGTGAAACACTAAATAGAACTAAAATATATATAATTTTTCAATGTAGTACTTAAACTTTTTTATGTTTTAAATAGTACTCGAATAATGTCTAGTGATAGAAACAATGTCCAGTGATGATGAATATTTACTTTGAATAATGTCCAGTTGCGTTGGACATTAATTGAACAATGACATGTGTTACTACATCTATACATTGTTTAAAAAGACATAAATTTTTTCCCGCCCATGCATGACACTCATATATGGAAAGTGTTGACAACATAAATGGTAGTTTAATTATTTTACCTTAATATTTTCCTTCCATTTTAAGTATGTTTTTATTTTTATTTTTATTTAAATGTTACACCATTTAAGCATTTAATTTAAATTAAATTAAATAATAGTGAACCATTGGGGAATTGAAGTATGGAAATAAAATACACTGGCATTTAAATATTAAAATAAAATTTAAAAATTACAAATTAATATAGTATGGGCAGGATTAAAATTATTTATTTCAAACAAACTACAAATTAATTATTTATCATTAAAAAATATTATAATTTACAAGCACAAACGCGTAAAAATGGTATGTTTTCAAAAATAGATCAGAAAATAAATATGGTACGGTAAGTAGATGATAACATTTAAATAAAAGAATAAAATAAAAAACTACAAATTAATATTAATACTATAATTTAAAAGAATGGAAACGTTTTAAAAATGACAAAGGTTCTAATTAGAAAATTAGAAAATAAATAGATATGGTATGGTAAGCAATTAGCACCATTTAAAAACGAAAATAAAATAAATGGTAAGTTTTCTAAAATAAATTAGGTTAGTGTTCTAAAATAAAAGAGAAAATAAAATACTCCCTCAGTCCCCAATTTTATTACAAATTGCGGGTTACCGAGTAAAATTTCTTACTTTTTGAAATCATTTTATTTACAAATTGATATATCAATAAGATATAAAAATTACATATTAAACAACTACGTCAAAAGTTCTACAAAACAAGAAGTGATAAAATATTTTATTTTATCAAATACTTAATGAAATCGCATAAACAAACAAAAGTTATCGAGAGGAGAGAAAAAAATTGAATCTATTTAGGGACAGAGAGAGTACATTTAAAAATGATAAGTGTTCTAAAATAAAATAGAAAACAATGTGGTTTGGTAAGTAATTAGTACGATTTAAATACGAAAATAAATTAAAAAACTGCAAAATTAATATTTATACTATACTTTAAAATCATGATTTTTTTAAATAAGATACGTGTTCAAATTAGAAAATAAATACGGAATGGTATGTCACCACGATAAGCAAATGGTACCATTCAAACACAAAATAAAATAAATGGTAAGTGTTTTAAAATAATTTAGGTAAGTGTTCTAAATAAATTAGAAAATAAAATAATTATTAAAATGATAAGTATTCTAAAATATATTAGAAAATAAATACGGTACGGTAAGTAAATGATACCATTTAAATAAAAAAATAAAATAGAAAACTACAAAATAATACTATCAATTAATACTACAATTTACAAGCATGGTAACGTGTAAAAATGGTAAGTGTTATAAAATAAATTAAAAAATAAATATGGTACATTAAGCAAATGGTACCATTTAAATGCAAAAATTAAAAAATTACTCTGTATAAATTAATACTATTAATATTATAAGCATGGAAACATGTAACAATGGTATAAGTATTCTAAAATAAATACTATTAATACTATAATTTATAAGCATGAATACGTGTAAAAATGGTAAGTGATCTAAAATAAAATAGAAAATAAATACCATAGGATAAGTTAATGGTACCACTTAAATACGAAAATAAAATTAAAAAATACAAATTCCGAAATAAATACATTAATATGTTGAATTATTACTTAGATTAGTCAAATTATTGAATTATTATCAAGAACAATATCTGAAACATATTGAATTATTGTTACGGAAACTGGTATTTAGTCATAAGAAAGTGTATGTTGCAGTTTAAAGAGTAATAAATCGCAATGGCTTGAAGATTCTGATATACAACGAAGTGAATGCTCACACAAATTATACATACGAGTGATGTAGTTTATAAAGAAGTCTTTCGAAATTTGTAAATCATTTTACTTTTGCACTTTAAAATAATGAAATCTCTATATTCCATTATATACCAATTTATATTCCTAAAAATGATCTTAAGTTAGTACCGTAACTATGACCCGTGCAACGCATGTGTGTGATACTAGTTGAGAAATAAAAAATACGGAGTATAGTATTATATTAGGAAAGTCACTAATGTTTGGGAACATGGATTTAGATTTCAAATCCGGATTTGGCTCAAATTTCATTTTTAGGAAACTTGCAAGTTTTGAATTTGGATTTAAATCAAATTCTTCTCATTCATAACAAAATTTAATTCTAAATCCATGCGCCTCTCTTTGTAAATTGAAATTCAAGATTTTAAATTTTCGAATTGAAATACATGAATTGAAATGAAATCCTAATTGGCAAACACTACCTAAATAAATTTGCTTGACATGAGACTTGTTTAGACTTTAGAAAAAAAAAACTTGCGGTACAATAAAATGTAGCCAAATTCAATTTTAAAACCATTTTGCCTAAATTAAATTCTCCGAGGCAAGCCCGGCCCGGTCCAAGTTAATACGGAGTATTTCCTACGTTTAAGTGGTTTAAGCCTTCCTCAATTCTCATGTTCCTACGCCACCGCCGGACCGCTTCAAGGCTCCACCCATCCGCCCGTCCTCCGACGTGCACTGCTCTACGCCACCGTTCATTTCTTCCCGGTGAGTATCTCTAGACTCTAATCTGTTTATTATGTTTTTTTTGTTATGAATTACTCTCCCTGTTCCCGAAGAATTCATCCATTATACTTTTGGCACTAGAACCAGGGAAGGGGGAATAAGTGAGGAGGACTAAAATGCTCTTATAAATAAACAGAGACCATATTTTTTCATAGTGCTATTGAATGTGGAGTAAATGAGTAATATTTGTTCACCCCATTCGTAAAGAAAGAATTGGGAGTAAGAGTTGCTATAAAGTAGGGGTAAAATTGTAATCTAACCCTATTTTGATCTTCCAATATTTAAGGAAAGTGAACAAATTCATATTGTGATTCAATATTCATAAAACTTTGACTTGATTTTGGATATTTGTTTTTTAAAAAAAATAGTTATTCGAAACAAATACAATTTGATTTTGGATTTGGTTAGTATTATTATTATTATCATCATTGCTAGGCTTGTTTCTCCGTATTAGACAACTGTGAAATCTATAATCTTTTAAATTCTTGAGGTAACTTGTTACATTATGAATTAACCCCTTTAGAGCTATAAACCCTAGCAGCATCATTGCTCAAGGGCCCGTATTTTAATTTTTGATTCTTTTGACGAGTCTGCTTATTTAGAATATCTATGAATGAGAGTAAAGGGGAGAAGCTTGGAAGCATTTGGGCATGACTTGATGGAGCAAAACTCAAAACGAACAACTCAAGATCGCATCAGTAACTTAGCAGATTCCCTGCTGCATCACATCTTGTCTTTCTTAAGTAGGAAAGAAGTGGTGAAGACTAGTGCATTGTCAAAAAGGTGGCAATATGTTTGGACCTCCGTTCCAACACTCGATTTTGTGTCCTATTCTATTTATTGTAGAGAGCAGGAATATGTGGCATGGGTTTACGGAACCTTCTTCGTTACCAAAGTAGTAATGTGGAGAGGTTGAAAATTCATTTCTACTTTGACACTCGTTTTGCCAACGATGTTGATACATGGATTTGGTTTGCCACAGAGAGAAATGTGCGAGATTTGAGGTTAAGTTTAAGTTATAAATACAGTTTGCCTCAATCTCTGTATTCCTACTCGTCATTGACAAATGTGAGTTTGTCTTGCTGCCGAGTGGAACCAAAAGGAGGTATTTCTTGGGAGTCACTTAAAAGTTTATCTATGGATGGGGTGACGTTGGATGAGAATACTATTGCAAAGTTGTTCCTTGGCTGCCCTTGCCTGGAGTTCTTGAAATTTCAAAGCTGTGATGGCTTCACTCGTTTAGATGTCAGATCTGACAGCTTGAGAGAATTGGTGATAGAAAGAAATTATCATGAAATGTCAACTCCATTAGAAATTTCATCCCCGAAACTTCAACATTTGCATATTGTCGGTATCAGGTTGGAACAAGTTCGGTTAACTGATGTCTCATCTCTTGTCAAAGCCAAACTCAAGCTAAAGGCTGACACTTCTGATTACTCTTCTTTCCTTGAAGAGCACAGCCTTAACTGCATTAAGCTTCTGGAAAGCATGCATAATGTAATCAAACTTGAACTCGAACTTTGGGAGTTTCAGGTAACCTTTTGTCTATTTACTATGTTCCAATCTAAATTCATTATACTGATTTGTGCATTATTATTTTCACACTATTTTGTGCTTCAATGCATACATTAGGCTATACTGTTTTCAGAAGTGAAGCCCTCGGCATCAAAGTCTCCACCCTTCACATGCCTGAAGATATCCAAGTACAATTCCGTAAGAGATGTGTTCGGCATCATAGCCTTGCTACAATGTTTACCAAACTTAGAGACTCTAGTAGTGAATGATGTTCAGGTGATCTTCAATTGGATTGCACGCATTCAACTACAATGCTCTTTTCTGCACACTTGTATTGTAGAACTTATATACTCCCTCCGTTTCTTAAAACCCTTCCTCTTTCATTTTTTTTTGTTTTTCTCAAAACACTTCCCTTTTCTATTAAAAAACCACTTTTACCCCTACTTTTTCATACCCTACCTATCACATCATACTTTTTCACTAACAACTAAACTATCACATCTTACTTTTACCCATCACATCAGGGGCAAAATTGGAAAGTCAACCAAAATTACACTTTTCTTATTTTTCTCCAAAGTCAAAAGAGGAACCGTTTTGAGAAACGGAGGGAGTATATTATAATCTATATGTGAGCGAGATCTGTTTTGTACTTGCAGCGATCGTACTACTCGGATTCGCCTAAGAGTATTTCTGTATCGGGTATTGGAAAGATTCCCCTTCCATACCTAAAGACTGTCAAGTTCCATGGGTTTAAGAGTCTGGAAGAGGTTGACGAAGACACCCTTAAGCTTGCGAAACTGCTGCTGAAGAATGCTGAACATCTGGAGAGGATTGTTATCAATGTGGGAGAACATCAGATGGTTTTGGGGCCTCATGCTGCATGATATTTCGAAACCTGCAAAGATTTGAAAGACGCCTTTTCTTCCTCCGTTTCTTTAGATGCACTTTTTTTGAAGTCTGGGAGTGTTGCTTGGTTAATACGGGGTGCAAAAAGGCACAACGAATGGGTTTGGGTCCTGGCAACGGCGATAAAGGACAACCATGCTTAGCATGAGGCCCTTGCATGTACCGGGGACATATCTCACTCTCTATTGCTTGTGTAGGATTAAAATTTCATTTTCTGGGGATCCTAGGATGTGGTTCATCCTTGTTTTATTACTTTTATATGCACCTGTTTTGTTGTTGCTGCATTCTGAACCTGATTTTCTGAATGATTATCTCTCATGGAGCTTAATGCCCTTATGCACATTTAAGACAATACTTGCCAAGTTAAACTTTTGGATTCTTATATAGTGGAGTAGGGGTGTATACAATTGAATCAAATATCTAGATATTCGATTCGTATTCGATTAAAATGATATCTATTCGAATTTGTATTTGATCATAATTCAAATTTTTAAAAATATTCGTATTAGATTTGTTAACATATTTTGTGTATTGGAATTCGTATTCGAATATTCGAATTCGAAAACAGTAAAAGATTTTTTTAAAGGCATTTTCTAGATATAGTAAGTTCTTTTTTTATAAACTACAAGTAATATAAATTGATAAATTTATCATATAACACATCCAAAATGTTACCTAAATTGCTACGAATTTTGGGAGCAAGATGTCATAAAAATTAGAATAAAACATGTAACAGAAACAAAATACGGAGTAATACATAAGCCAACATAACACACATAATTGGAACTCTAGAGTCTGGAAGCTCGGCTAAAGAAGTGAAGACTATTATAAATGAGGCGACATGCGAAACTCTGAAGTCTTGAGAAAAATAATAAGATTAAGGCTTTTTAAATAGAATAAGATTAGGGTTTGTTTGGGGAAGCTTGTGTATTTAATCCAAATGCAAATAACTAGGGTGTATTAGACAATTATGGTATATTTATTTCTTTATATTATTCAAATAATTTGAAATATAAACGAAGGTTTTTAGCACACTTATATTGGTCTGATATGATGTAACTTTAAAATATTAATAATTTAATATCTGGAAAATATTTTTACAATGAAACAAATAGTTACAATTTCTTTTGCTAATTTAAAGAAGAAACATATGTACATATTTTTGAAAATAGTTTGCATATGCAACTCATATTGACGTAAACTTGAAGCGCTAAAATATTCTATTTGTAATATGCATAAAAAAACTGTAATCAATAGTAAACTCCAACTTGAGCTCAAATTTTGTGAAATTTATAGTAAATAGTATTATAACATATGTCTTTTTTTAATGTAGTACTTAAGCATTTTTATTTCATAAATAATACTTGAATAATGTCTAGACATAGGAACCAGAGGTGGATCTACCTTAAAGTATATGGGGTCAGCTGCCCCCAGTAAAAAAACGCTTTTTACTTTTTTTGTTCTATGTATACCTGCTCTTAGCAAAAAATAAAAATTACCCCCCTGTGACCACTGACTAACCCATTAAATAAAGTATTTGCAATACTCTAGTGATATTATATATATATCGTACAACATAATTCATTTAGAATTATAATTTTACTTATCTTAAATTTGTTTGATAAAAAGTTAAAAATGATATACTTCAATGTGATTATTATTATTATTATTATTATTATTATTACAACTGTTATTATAAATTATTTTTTTCATCTCACTATTTTTACGATTCACACTTATTATTTTTTTCTTCAACTTTTCAATATGAATAAAACATTTTTTTTGTATATTAGTCTACATGATAAAATAGGAAAACATCAATGTTTCCTCTGGGTAATATCTTAATATCTAGAAAATATGTTTACAATGAAACAAATAGTTACAATTTTTTTTGCTAATATATGTGCACATATAACTATTTATAACTATTTGTTTCACTGTAAACATATTTTCTAGATATTAAGATATTACCCAGAGTAATATCTTAAAGTTAAGATCAGGCCAATATAAGTGTGCTAAAAACCTTCGTTTATATTTCAAATTATTTGAATAATATAAAATAAATAAATATACCCTAATAGTCTAATACACCCTACATTTGGATTAAATACACAAGCTTCTCCCAAACAAACCCTAATCTTGTTCCATATAAAAAAAACCTTAATCTTATTATTTTTCTCAATACTTCAGAGTTCCGCATATCGCCCCATTTATAGTCTTCACTTCTCTAGACTCTAGATTTCTTTATTATGTGTTTTGTTGGCTTATGTGCTATTTTGTTTCTTACATGTTGTTTTTGGAGATTTGGAACATTTTATTACAATATAAGACTCTTTTATTCTAATTTTAGGGACATCTTGCTCCCAAACTTCGTAGCATTTTAGGCAACATTTTGGATGTGTTTTGATGAATTTGTCAATTTATATTACTCGTAGTTTATAACAAAAATAACTTACTATATCTAGAAAATGCCTTTAAAAAAATCTTTTACTGTTTTCGAATTCGAATACGAATTCAAATACGTTGAATATGTTATCAAATCGAATACGAATATGTTTGAAAATTTGATTTATGACCGAATACGAATTTGAATAGATATCATTTTAAACAAATACGAATAAAAAAAAGTCCTATTTGGGGGGGGAATATGAAAGTCCTATTTTAGTACTTTTTCAATGTTTTAGTCTTATTTACAGTGATTTTTCTTTTTTCTTAATGTAGTATGTAAATCTTTTTATTACCTAAATAGTACTTGAATAATGTCTAGTGATAAGAACAATGTCCAATCACGCTAAATATTTATTTGAACAATAATCAATGTTATAATATTAAAAAATAAAAATATATGATAATACATTAGGAAAGTCACAGAATTTGGTGACGAGATGGACATGAGACTTGTTTAGTGAAAAAAAAACTTGCTGTACAACAAAATGGAGCCAAGTTCAATTTTAGAACCATTTTGCTCTAAATTAAATTCTCCGAGGCAAGCCCGGCCCGGTCTAAGTTCATATTTCCTACGTTTAAGTTGTTTAACCCTTCCTTCCTCAATTATCCGTTGTCCGACCCGGCGGCTCCGACGCGCAGTTACCCTAATTGCGTCACCACCTACGCCACCGCCTGACCGCTTCCAGGCTCCACCCATCCGGCCGTCCTCCAACGTGCACTGCTCTCCGCCGCCGTCCATTTCTTTCCGGTGAGTATCTCTAGACTCTAATCTCTTTATTATGTTTTTTTGTTATGAAACTCCCCGTCCCCGGTGAATTCATCCATTTTACTTTTGGCACTAGAACCAGAAAAGGGGGAATAATTGAGGAGGACTAAAATACTCTTATAAATATAAACAGAGACAAACTCAGGTTTGTTTAGGGCCTGTAAAATGCTCAAGACTGTTCTACTTCTAGGTTATCTCTGCTCTGTTAGATGCATCTTCAGACTCTTTTCACAAGCCTGATGATTTAGAATATCTCTCAAGGAGTTTAAAGGGGATAGAAGCTTGAAAGCATTCTGGTACAACTCGAGACAGCCTCTAGAGATGGAGAAAATGTCGAAACAAACAGCTCACGACCGCATCAGTAACCTAGCGGAGCCCCTGCTGCATCACATCCTATCCTTCTTAAAAAGGAAAGATGTGGTGAAGACTAGTGCATTGTCAAAAAGATGGCGATATGTGTGGACCTCTGTGCCAACACTCGATTTCGTGTCTTATTCGCTTTCTTATATAGAGCATGAGTATGTGGCATGGGTTTACTGGAACCTTCTTCGCTACCAAAGTACTAATGTGGAGACGTTGAGAATCCATTTCTTCTACAGAACTTGTTTTGCCAAAGATGTTGATACTTGGATTTGGTTTGCCACAGAGAGAAATGTGCGAGATTTGGGGTTACGTTTGGGGAGTGGAGAATACAGTTTGCCTCAATCTCTGTATTCCTACTCTTCATTGACTAATCTGAGTTTGTCTTCCTGCCAAGTGGCACCAAAAGGAGGCATTGGTTGGGAGTCACTTAGAAGTTTATCTATGGATGGGGTGAAGTTGGATGAGGATACTATTGCAAAGTTGTTCCTTGGCTGTCCTAGGTTGGAGTTCTTGAACTTTCGAAACTTTCTTGGCAAATCTCGTTTAGATATCAGATCTGATAGTTTGAGAGAATTGGTGATAGAAAAAGTTGATTTGCCAATGTCGACTACATTAGAAATTTCAGCCCCTAAACTTCAATGTTTGCATATTGCTGGTATGTGGTTGGAACAAGTTCGGTTAACTGATGTCCCGTCTCTTCAAAAAGCCAAACTCAAACTAATTGCTGAAACCCACGGCCTTAACAACATCAAGCTTCTGGAAAGCATGCATAACGTAACCAAACTTGAACTCGGACTTTGGGAGTTTCAGGTAACCTTTTGTCTATTGACTACTATATTCCAATCTAAATTCATTAGTTATATTGATTTATGCATTTCTATTTTCACATTATTTCCGTGTTTGGATGCATACATTAGGCTATACTGCTTTCAGAAGTGAAACCTTCCACACCAATGTCCCCACCCTTTACATGCCTGAAGATATCCAAATTCAATGCCAAAAGAGACATGTTTGGCATTATAGCATTGCTAAGATGTTTACCAAACTTAGAGACTCTAATTGTGAATGATATTGAGGTGATCATTACTGAACATCATCTTCAATTGGGTTCCATGCATTCAGTTATTACCATATGCTCTTTTTGCTTTATCTGAGCAAGATTTGTTCTGTACTTGCAGCAATGCTACTACCCACATTCCCGTGAGAGTATTTACGTATCGGACATTAAAGTTCCCCTACCGTGCCTAAAGACTGTCGAGTTCCATGGGTTTAGGGCTCTGGAAGAGGTTGACAAAAACACCCTTAAGTTCACGGGACTGCTGCTGGACAATGCCGAGCATCTGGAGAGGGTCGTTATCAACGCGGGAAGACGTCAGATGGTCGTGGGTCCCACTCATGCTTCATTGCAGGGTATTTCAAAAACTGCAAAGATCTGAAAATGCAAACATCTCATGGAGCTTATTTCCTTTAGGGTTTAAATCACTTTTTTTGTACGACTCTGTTTGGCGTTTTGAATAATTATTTTAATTTGGGGTGTCCATCGATCCAAACCTTTTGCATTTGTTGTTTGGATAATCGAAGCTTTTGAGGCAGTCTATTCGCTTGTTTTTGTAACCGGCGTGGGTAGCAGGCATTGAACTTTGTATGTGGAGGGTGGGTGGGGAGGGGTGTACTTTTTATTCTATATCAATTTGTAAATCTCATTTAAAAAAATTGTAAATAAAATGATTTTAATAAAGATGACAATTTGCACGTTTTCAAAATGAAAAGAGAGATATGAGACGGAGGGACTACGGAGCATCTATGAATCTCACTTTAACCTTTTGTCATTTTTAAAATTGATATGTGATCCCGAATTTATGCATTGGTGTTAGCTTTTCCTAAAGAGGGAAAAGGTGATCTTACTTCGACACTAACCTTAACACTACACTCAATTTCTTCAATAAAAGTGTCGATCTTTATGGATTAGTACTCCGTATTTGGTGAGGAATAGTCTAATCTTTCATGTATCAATTTGAGACTCTTATTTCTAAGAACTTGTGTCTATGGTTAACTAATTGACGTGCTGCAGGAATCGTAGAAGCCATACCTAATCGAAAAAGAATGTTATCCAAACGCATTTCAAGTAATTGAAGTAAAACTTTACCAGTTGAACCCTTGGCCTTTCTGGCAATTCGAACGTAATTAATTAACTGCTTTTCTGTAAGACCATAATGAAAACGCAATTTTTGTTTTTCGTCGAGTCGAATCCGATATTCGGAACGAGATTGATTTCGAAGATCACGTATAGCCCTAGGACTTTTATTAGTTAATCCTGGTAAAGCCCCAAGACGGCGTATTTTTTTAAAACGAGGTCCTCGATAACGCGACATAAACACTCCTTAATTTTTATATGCAATTCGATTATCTATCTAAATTTATTTAAAATATGTAATTCTATAATTTATATAAATGCGATAATAGTTTTTTCTTTTCAATTCTAAGCAAATTATAAAAAAGAATGTTTTGACTCATTCTAGTTCGAACTTCCGATATTNGAAGCTTCACTGTTCCCTGGGATTGGCTTTGGGCCTTTCCTGCGCAGCTTAGGTGGAAGGCGAAGACGGCCTCCTTCCGGGGGGGCTCGAGCCATCAGTGAGATACCACTCTGGAAGGGCTAGAATTCTAACCTTGTGCCAGGACCTACGGGCCAAGGGACAGTTTCAGGTAGACAGTTTCTATGGGGCGTAGGCCTCCCAAAAGGTAACGGAGGCGTGCAAAGGTTTCCTCGGGCCGGACGGAGATTGGCCCTCGAGTGCAAAGGCAGAAGGGAGCTTGACTGCGAGACCTACCCGTTGAGCAGGGACGAAAGTCAGCCTTAGTGATCCGGCGGTTCCGAGTGGAATGGCCGTCGCTCAACGGATAAAAGACATATGACAAATTATTAAACAATTTAATCTTACACCTGGCCTATGACGGGGGCTGCTTTCATTTATACCATACAAATCAATTCCTACTATACCTACCCATTAGAACATGTCCAATGCAAGTCTCATTTCATCTCTTCTCTTTTAGTTGGTATGTAAGTGAGACTTATGTCAGTTATGTGTTGTCTCATACCATTAGATGAAAAGAATAAACTGGGACATGTCCCTCCAACTTGGGGCCGTCCCAACTCAAATTCTTCTCGATCTCCTTTTTCATGTATATGTTTAAACGATGAGACTTTAAAATGAGATCTTTCATTAGAGATGAGAGTCTCAATTTTTTATAATCTTACATGTAAAATTAAGTTTATAAAAGAGACTCTTACTTGTGACTCACTATTGTACATGCTCTTAGCTTACTTGATGCACTTAATTTGTTCAATTCCTTAATAAAAGAGAGATATGAGGAGACGAATGGATATAAAGTACTCCATTCACTATTTTCCATTATATAATTTTATTTTATTAAACTCCGCGAAGAATCAAACCCAAACTATTAATTTATAATAGATGGAGTATTAATAAATATTTTCAATTTTTTAATTGCAGAAATGAAAGAAGTACTTATAGGGAAGAAGACAATAAAAATAAGAAGAAGAGATGCAACAAGGAAGAAAGAAGAGAGCATTTGGCAATCCAGCGTTTTTAAGATTTTAGCTTCTGCTTTAGGTGATAGTTGTTTTATTCTGTTTGACATGTTAGCTTATGCTTTTTCATTACTATTTTATGTTGAAATATTAGAATAATAATATTGCTCCTTGAATTATGAATTACATGATAGAGTATATATAGAAGAGATTCCTAACACAACTAGGAATAGAGAATAGAGATTAACTAAAATACAACTTCTACCATAACTAGGAATACTTAATATTATTGTCTAACATCCCCCCTCAAGCTGAACTCTGGCTGAAGCAAAAGGAAGCTTGGACACTAGCTGGAAACTAGAAACTTTGAGAAGAGAGAAGTTTGACGTGCGCCGGTGGCTGCTGACGTCGTTGGAGAAGAGAGAAGTCTGACGTGTGCCGCTGGCTGCTGACGTCGTTGGAGAAGAGAGAAGTTGACGTGCGCTAGTAGCTGTTGACGTCGATGAAGAAGAGAGAAGGTTGACGTGCGCTTGTAGCTGCTGACGTCGAAGAAGAATAGAGAAAGCTACTCGAGGTGCCTGTTTGACTGAAGATCCTTGACATTTTGTCTTTTTCTTGGATCCGGGCAATGCCCTATTTCCTTCTTGAAGGGGTGAGTTGTAGAGGTCTTATTTCCTCTTTCACTACTTCCCCTCTTGGCTTTGCTTTTTGTGCTGATTTACTTTGGATTTTTATTGGTTCATTAGAAGAGAAAGAGAATGGAGGTTGATGATTAGAATGAGTGATTTTAGAGAGAAAAAGTAGGTTAAGAATTGGTGATGAAAAAAAAAAATTGGGTCTGAGATTTTGATATGGTGAATTGGAGAGAAACAACAATCATTTTTTTTTGAGAAGATAGGATGATCTGAGAGAGTTTGTGAGGAGTTGGGTTTTTTTTTGAAGAACCATGGAGATGGCAAGAGGGAAGCTCCTCCTTTGACGGCTTTTTTTTTGTGATTTCAACACGGGAATTTTTTTCTTTTTTTTTTGAATGGAGAAGTTAATTTGAGAATAAAAAAGGGAAAAAAAATAGATGTGAATAAGGTGGAGCCGCCGTCGCCGGAAATACCGGCGGCGGCGGTGGGAGCAAAGATCTTTTTTTTTAGGTCACCAAAAGCGGTGGCTCTGATACCATGTTGAAATATTAGAATAATAATATTGCTCCTTGAATTATGAATTACATGATAGAGTATATATAGAAGAGATTCCTAACACAACTAGGAATAGAGAATAGAGAATAACTAAAATACAACTTTTACCATAACTAGGAATACTTAATATTATTTCGTTAATGGGCTCATTCTTGTTGGGCTCGTAATTAGGTCATAGTCTTGTAGCTATTATAAATAGCAGATCTATGTGTAATCAAACCATTCAAGTTTAGATCTAATTATATTTTCTACATGGTATCAGAGCCAAATTCGGAAAAAACCTAAAATCCTAATTTCCTCTAGTTTGCTGCTTCTACTGCCGCCGTCGCCTGTGGTTTGTCCGGCGACGGCGGCTTCACCATCAGATCTCGTTCTTGTCATAGCCCGTGTGATCCGTTCAACATCAACAACCAAACCGTCATAGATCGGAACTTGCCGATTTGTGCGATCATCGCTTCCGTCCGTTTTCCTCTGCATCGTCGGAAGTTCCCTCCGTCCGGAAGTTCCCTCCTTCGCCCAGCAGTATCGTCAGTCTCCTCCAGCAGATTCGTCCGTCCCAGCAGCTTCACAGCTTCATTCGTCCATACTAACCCAGCAGATCCATACCAGCCTTTGATTCAATCGTCAGTGTGTCGCCAGTCTTAGTCGTCGTCTCCGAACTGCCATCGTGCAGACACCGGAGGACAGATCTTCTGGTAGTGTGTAGATCCAAGTTCTCCAAAATCCATCGATCTACCGCACCGCTGCTTCAACCTTGTGCTCGCTCTCTGTCCGGCAATTTTGGTTGTCGTCTTATGTTCCATCCGGAAACAAAAAAAAGGGGGGCTGGACTTCAGTCAATTACGTTTGTTAGGGTAAATCAATGAAGAAGTGTCTCTCTTGTGCGGAAAATTGGTCTCCATTGGTGTTTGCATGGGCTCATTCTGGTTAGTGAGTTGGTTTGTCACTTTGTTGAATTTGTTTTGGTTTGTTCGTGCTTCGAGGAAGAAGGTTTTATGTTCGCTCTATCGTTCATCGAAATTTGATGACCTTTTTGACGACAATGTTTTTTGGTTGCTATTTGGTATGTTCAAGTGCAACCCGTTGTATGTTCGGCATGTTTGTTTGTGAGGTTGGTCGCATAGTCGCGCCTCAGTTCGACATATTTGTTTGTGAGGTTGGTCGCATAGTCGCGCCTCAGTCCGGCAACACGGCCTCCAAGTTTGGGATGCTTGTTAGTCGTCCCCGTGTCACCGCGTGGGAGTCATTCGTCATCAAAATTTATTGTTCGTTTGCAGGGCCGGTCACCTTCGTTCGTTGTTATCACAGCAGATCAAGTTCAAGTTGTTTATCAATTTTTTTAGTCTAAGTTTTGTTTTAATTGTCCAAGTTGTGCATTCCTTCATCTCATGCTCAACTACAAGAAGTACTATTACATAGAATACCATCATAAGATGTTTTTAATTTTAATTTTTGTGAAATGTACTTTATCACTCCCAAAAGTAATAAAAGAAACCATTTATGCGAAATAACAGGAAAAGAAAATAGTGACCAATGCTGTATAGACTATACTCCTAGCCTTTCATAATCAAAAGTTTACACTATCTAACTATCTTTTCCTCTTTTTGTCACAAAATAAAATTTATACCTTCTCTTTTTTGAAAAATGGGTGTCTTGACAAGTTGGAATGGTGAATTTGGTCACTACTTCAAACATTTAATTAAACTCTTTTTTCAGGAAGTCTTGAGTTCGAGTCATCGTGGAAGTGAGCTAAAATATTTCCTGTCGATAAAATAAACCTCTAGTCCCTAGATTAGCTTTTTGGAGAGAACAATTGTGAATGTCTCATTTTTCCCGCGGTAGTGTAGATGACCAATAATCAGTATGAGGAGTTCAACGTGAAAACTCTTTGCACGCGGAACGGCAGAAGTATACATACTGTGTAGAAAACCTGTGAAGCAAAAGAGTTGCGATTTATTTCTTTTAAGCTTCTTAGGGGTAGCTAGGGTCTTAGAGACTTAAGATTATTTCATCGCGAGTCAGAAATGTAATGTATAAAAAAAAACGGGTGTCGTAAAAACAACCATTTTTTGCTTTTCAATACAAAATACAAGGAGTACGTATTTTAAAAAGAAAAACTTACTGTAGAAACCACCAAGTTTGACACTAAAAGTTTGACAACAAGTATTCTACATACAGACAGTGACACGTATATGGTATACGTTTGTGAAACACGGTACTTTTACTTTCAAATTTGGTGGTTAATTAATCAACATTCAACACCTCCATTATATATATTCATCCACTGCTAGCTTGTTCATCACTCATTATTCTAATTAACCAAAGCTTAATTAGCATTTTTTTCTCTCCATTAAATATATATTCATCCACTACGTAAGAAATTTATTAGGAAGTATAATTAAATTAGGATACTTCTTTCCTTTCCTACTAGAATTATTCTTTCCTTTCCTACTTGTACTTTGATTACTCTTGTATTCCCTATATATAGGGCCATATCTCTCAATATTCACTAAGACAAGTTATTATCAAATTGTATCATGGTATCAGAGCTAAGGCTCTCAAAAACCTAGCCTCTCTTTTTTTCCGACCGCCGCCCATCATGGCAGCCCCGTCGGATCCTTTGGCGTCCTTACCCTCTGGAGTAAAACTTTTGCTTCGGAGTCTCCACAACTTAATCCCAGAAAAACTCACCGAAACAAATTATCCGGCATGGTCTCTCAATGTCCAGACAGCTCTTTCAGCTAATCTCCTCCTTGGATGGATTGATGGTCATGAAGCAGCCCCGGCGCCAACTATCTCCAAAAACGATAAAATCGTCCCTAATCCAGAGTATACCTCCTGGACCATCGTTGACACACAGATCCGCGCCTGCCTCCTAGCGGTCATCAGCCCCTCCGTTCACAAACATGCTCGCGGCTTCACCACATCTGCTGCCCTCTGGGATGCTTTGGCCGCACGGTACAACTCCGTGTCCACCGCTCATGTTTATCAGCTTCGGGACAAACTCCACACTCTTCGTAAAGGTACCAAAACTATGACACAATACCTTGATGATGTGGCAACTATTCTCTC